TGAGAAAGTTATGACCATTGCCTCCAGTTGTTTCAATGCTCCATTCTGTCCAGTCCTCTCACATTCCATGTACACCAGCAGCGTACTCACTAAATGCACAATGAAGTCTGCAGGTCAGCACTTGTCTCTGCATTCTGTTTGTTGTCCCTAATCGGACAGCAACGCTAGAGCTGGCTCAATATTAGGTACATCCTGTAAAACTACCTCAGGAGGCATATTGCTGCTGCAAATGGAGCTGGGACTCCAAAACAGTCCTACTGCCAAAGATTTTCGAAGTACAGAAGACTCAACCGTAGTAAATATATTCTTACAAATTGTGCTTTGGTACAGCAGAACTTGATAATTGCTAAAGAAGACATATTTTGTTGAAGCTTTTTGTCTTGCACTCATCAGTACAATTCACAAGAAATAACAAAGTAAAGGGACTGGACAAGAGCTGGCAGGGGTGTGCACAGGAGGGTCCACTTTTGTGGATGCATAGAAAAAAATGGAAGGGTATAGAACACAATTTTGCTACTTACTGATGGAGCAAAGCAGAGGAATTGGTGATCAGCGAGAACTGTAAAAATATTCAAGGTGACAGACAGTTTGCACAATGGGCTAATAGGTGGCAGGGATTATACAATTTAATGCAGACAAATGAGAGGAAATACATTTTCGGTCAAAGAACATGGAATTGCAATGTACAACAGATTAAATGAAAGAAAAGTGCAAGTAGTCAAAGATTCAATTCCGTAGTTCTTCTCCGCACCTTTAGAATATTAAAATAAATTAATACCAATAATTTCACTAAAAGTGATGTTAGTACTACACAAAAGTTTGTTCTAATAATCAACAAAGGAGGAAGTAAACACAACAGAGCAATTTAAGTGGCAGGACAGCTTGGCCATGTAGAATGTTCTTCCTCTGCAATGAGAGAAATTAGTTACACTTCCAGTACCCAGGGTGATCACATGTGCAGAAAGTTTCTCCAGCTACAGCTACTTGAATTGCACATTTCGTATCTAAGCAGCAGCTGAAATCACTGTGAAGCATTGCAAGGCTAAGCTCTTCGTAGATAGCATGCAAAATGAAGAAGCCATACTGCAGGTAAAGTGTGAGCAGGCAGAAAGAGAATGGGTGACCATTAAAATGAGTAAAAGCACCAGGCGCTTAGTTAACTAGGGTCAGGGATACCATTGAGCAGGTGTAGGAGGGAGGGTGAATAGCTAGAAGTTATGGTTGTGCTCCATGTTGGTACCAAAGACACTGGTGAAAAGAGACAGGAGATCATACAAGCAGAATACAGGCAACTAGGAAATAAGTTGCAAAGAACAAAAGGTAGTAATCTCAGTATTACCCCAGTGCACATGCTAGTGAAATCAGGAATATGAGAATGGTTTCAATTAATGCATGTCTGGAGAGATGATGTAGGGGGAAGGATTTAGATTTCGATTTCTGAGACATTGGAATATATTCTGGGGAAGATAAGATCTGTACAAGTCAAATGGGTCACATCCCAGCAGGTCCAAGACGAATGTCTTCTCAGGGGAGTTCGCTAGATGGTGAGTGTCGGGTTTAAACTAGAGTGGTAGGACTGTGGGAATCTGAGCAGGGATACAAGAGTAAGGGAAACAAAGATGGAAATGAAAGATAGAAAATTAGAAAGCAAAGGTGGGAGGTAGAGAAAACAAGGGCTAGCAGCAAATATAGACATAGTACAAAAGAATTTAAACATTAAAAAGTCAAGAATAAAGGTTTCAAATCTGAATGCACAGAGCTTTTGCAATAAGATAGATGAATTAATAATGTAAACAGTTGTAAGCGGGTATGACACAATCGCAATTATGGAGACATGGCTACAGGGTGACAAAGGCTGGGAGTGAGAGTCTCTATTCCAAAAGAATCGTAAAAATGGAAAACAATGTGGGGTGACATCATTAGTAAAGGATAAAATCAGCGCAATAGTGAGAAAGGATATTGACTCAAAAAAATCTAGATGTACAGACAGTCTGGTGGAGCTAAGTAGCAATATGGGGCAGAAGGCAATAGTGGGAACTGTTTGCAGGCCTCCAAACAGTAAGGTAGGGGATATCATTAAACAGGAAATTGAAGAACAACGCAACAAGGATGCATAGTAATCATGGGTGACTTTATTCTACACATAGACTAAGTAAACAATATTGGCAATAATACTGTGGTGGATTCAAGATTTCCTTTCGAACAACACATTGTGGAACAAACTATCCTAGATTTGGTTCAATGCAATGAGAAGTGGTAAATTAAGCATCTAATTCCGGAGAAGTAAGATAGTGGTTAAAATGGGAAAAATAGACTGCAAGAGTGAGCTTGCAAGGGGCATAAAAGTGACTGTAAAAGCTTCTGTAAATATGCAAAAAGAGAAAGATTAGTGAAGACAAATGTCGGCCCTTTACAGTCAGAAACTGGAGAATTGATAATGGAGAACAAGGAACCAGCAGAGCAATTAAGTAGACACTTTAAACCTGTCTTCAAGGAAGAAAACAACAATAACTTTCCAGAAATGCTAGGGATGTAGTGAGGAGGAGAAACTGAAGCAAATTAGCATTAGTAAAAAACAAATACTGGAGAAATTAATGGGACTGAAAGCTGATAAATTCTCAGGAAGTAATAATCTACATGCAGTGTCATAAAATAAGTGACCATGGAAATAATGGATGCATTTGTCATCTTTCTGACTTGTGCAGATTTTAGAATAGCCAGACATATTGGAAGGTGCCAAATGTAATCCCATTACTTATAAAAAGAAGATAGCGGAGAATTACAGACCAGTTAACCTAACATCAGTAAATGATAAAGGCTAGAGTCTAATACAAAGGATGTGATAACAGGGCACTCAGAAAATATTAATTGAATTAGACAAAGTCAACACCAATTCATGAAAGGGAAGTAATGTTCGAGAAACCTCCAAGAGATGTTGTGAAAATATAACTAGATAATAAAACATACAGTAGACATAGGAGAACCATGGATATTGTGCATTTGGATTTTCAAAGTCCTGATCGTAAAGTCCCACATAAGAGATAGGTATGCAAATTTTAAACATATGGGATTGGAGGTAATATACTGGAATGGACTGAAAATGGGTTAACAGGAAACGGAGATTAGGAAGATATGGGTCTTCTTTCGAGTGCAAACTGGTGTCTAGAGGGGTACTGCAGGAATCAATGCTAGGGTCCCAGCTGATGATAACATATCAATGATCTGGATGAGGGAATCAAATGTTATACGTCCAACTTTGCTGATGACACGAAACTAAATTGGATTGTAAGTGGTGAGGTGAATGTAAAAGAAATTCAAGTGATTTAGACAAGTTGAGGACTTAGCAAACTCATGGTAATTACCATATAATGTAAATAAGTGTGAAGTTATTTACTTTGGTAGGCAAAGTAGAATGGCAGAGTATTATTTAAATGGTAATAGATTGGGAAATGTTGATATGAATGTCCTATACCTCAGCCAGTGAAAGCAGCAGTTGGAAGGTAAATGGTATGTTGGCCTTTAGCACCAGAAGACTTGAATATAGGAGAAAGGAAGTCTTACTGCAGCTGTAAGAGCCTTGGTAATTCCACATTGGGGAGTACTATGTACAGTTTTGATCTCATTATCTAAGGATGGGTGTTTTTGCCATAGAGAAAGGGCAGTGGAGATTCACCAGACTGGTTCCTGGGAAAGCAGAATTGTTGAATGAACAAAAAATGGAGACAAGTAGACCTGCATGTACTGGTGTTTGAGAGGGGATTTCAGAACATTCACACAGGGCTGGACAGACTAGATGCAAGGATGATGTTGCCTCTAGTGTATGGCGGGCGGGGAAGAGAGAGAGAGAGAGCGCGCGAGAGAGAGAGAGAGAGAGAGTTTTGAACTCAGAAGTTGGTGAAACTGTGGGAGTTTCTATCACATAAGGCTCCAAGTCTCTGAATACATTTAAGAAATGAAAAAAAAATTTTTAAACACTAAAGGCATTAAGGGGTGTGGAGAGAGTCTGTGAATGTGGCATTGAGATAAAGGATCAGCTATAATCATAGTGAATGATATAGAAAGCTTCCTCGGTGAAATGCCCTATTTCTTATTCTTACTCTTATTTCCTAGTTTTTAGATTTTGTTTGATGACTCAGGAACCTAGGCCTGTTTTAGAGGAAGTGCAGTCATCATGGTAAGAATCATCTATATGTTACTGTCAAATGTCACTAGTTACATCTGTTGTTCATATAAACTAACGTTAATGCACAATTATGCGATGCCATTCTAAGTTTTGATTACAGCACACTAACTTGTTATAGAAAAGCCAAAGCAGACAAACAAGATACAGAACGGATCTTACTGAAAAGACTGGAGGGACTGAATGGCCTACTTCTATTTCCATGTTTAGTGTCATGTTTTTCAACCTGGCCAGTGTTGACTCAATACTCCAGAATGCTAATTTACATTTCGGAATGGGCACGCCATATGCCTTAAAAGACTTTACATTTAACTTTGTCACAAATTTGCCTTTTAGCTTCATTCTTCCAAACACTGTAGATTCCTTCCTATTAGCAATGGTCAGTCAGATCCAAACAGAAACGAGTTGGAAATATATTATGAACGCAATTCAACCGACAGCTACTGGGTTTTGAAACTAGCTAACGGGAAACTGAAGGTAGTGAGCCCCTCTCTCGCAGATGTCAGAAACAGCTCCAAACTGAGAGCAAATGTACCACAGGCAAAGCTAAAACACAAGCCTCCTGGGCTGGAAGTATTAGCCCAGAAGCGGAATCAGTTTTTTTTAAACAAGAGTAGCGAACGTTTTGTGAGCCTGACAATAAAGAAGTTATATCATTTCCAGCCGTCATTGGAAATAATGCAAAGCAAGGACATCTCCCTGGAACAAGAGTCCAGCAAATCTCAACCTCCACCCTGCCCCGCCAGTCCTCGGCTGACATTTAATTTCCGCACTTTGATTTACACTCAAACCCACAACAAATAAACACGCCGCCGCGTACCTGAACCTCTCCTGCCCCGCGGTGTCCCACAGCTGTAATTTGATCCTCTTTCCCGGCTCGATCTCCACCAGCCTGGCGAAGAAATCCACACCAACCGTGGGGTCAGACACGTCGTTGAATTTGCCGTCAGTGAATCTCCGGAGGAGGCAGGACTTCCCCACGGTCGAGTCCCCGATCACTATCAGACGGAACTGATAGATCCAAATAGCTTCCATGACATAACTTTTACCACCAACCTATAACCCCGACCCCTTTTACAAGGTCCGAATAAAAATTGCAAACCGCTATCTCAACCAAATAAAAGGAAACTGAATAAAATAGGGGTCTGAATAAAGCACACACGCACGCATTTCCAAACTATGAATGCAGTAGAATTTCCTTCTCCCGCCCCCTCCGACCCAACACAGTACAGTTTGCAAAATGCTGCAAACTCAGCTTCAGAGCTAGTACCGGAAAACCAAATCCGGCAAAGGGGAAGCGGTGATTGACATGGAGAAGCTCCAATCCCAACTCAGAAAGCCGAGGCAGGGCGGCTGTAACCACTAATAGGACACAGGAGAGAACAGGAGCTCCTGGGCTGATGCTGAGCTCAATAGGACGTGTTCATTTCTCTGGCCAAGGGCTCTTCAGATTTTATTTAAAGAATGAACGTTCTCAGGCACACGCACATATATACATCCAGACACCACATTATAATATGAATATCATAAAAATAATGTCACTATTGTATACAACACTATCCATTTAAGAATGTGGTAAAGGGTCATACGACAGTTAATCAAGAATCCTACACCCATACCAGTCAAATTCCAGCTTTCTCCCACTTTAACCCAGTTTAAAGCAACATTTAAATAGCCCAGAATAATTCATAGTGAACAATTTCTAGTATATAGCTTACAAGGAAAACTTCAACAAAGTTTCCCCTCCTCCTGCCCTAAAATTATGCAAATATTATACAGTAACTAAAAAACTTAAATGAACATAAAATACTTGCGAGTGTTTAAGCTTGTGAGGCAAATCTCATCGTGTTTACCAGGTGGACCCTAGCTAATGTCACGTTATTATAGAGGAGCCTAATCTTTGATTAGATGGCATGTTCGGATTGACAATATCTAATTTCCATAAGTATCTACCCCTTTCCATGGTGAATGCTGCTAACCCGTGTTTTACGGAAGGTCAGATGTTGGAAAGGTTCATTGTAGCATGGAAGGTGATACTTAAAATGTATTTGGTACTTTTGGCAGATACAGCATAATGATAAAACAGTGCAGACTCCAGAAAATAGCAAAACCAAAGAAACACACTATGCTGGCCCTCTCCAGGAACTGCCAAGCTGTCTGGATGGATTCTTTTTGCCTTTGCATCATGCAACTGCACCAGAGAGAGAATACCCCTCGTCCTCACGTACCACCCCACCAACCTCCGGATCCAATGCATCATCCTCCGACACTTCCGCCATCTGCAATCTGACCCCACCACCAAAGACATCTTTCCCTCCCCATCCTTATCTGCTTTCCGGAGGGACCACTCTCTCCGTGACTCCCTTGTCCGCTCCGCACTCCCCTCCAGCCCCACCTCAGCCGGCACTTTTCCCTGCAACCGCAGGAAGTGCTACACCTGCCCCTACACCTCCCCCCTCACCCCCATCCCAGGCCCCAAGAAGACTTTCCACATCAAGCAGATGTTCACCTGCACATCTGCTAATGTGGTATACTGCATCCGCTGTTCCCGTTGTGGCCTCCTCTACATCGGGGAAACCAAGCGGAGGCTTGGGGACCACTTTGCAGAACACCTATGCTCGGTTCACACTAAACAACTGCATCTCCCAGTCACGAACCATTTCAACTCCCCCTCCCATTCCGCAGACGACATGTCCATCCTGGGCCTCCTACAGTGCCACAATGATGCCACGCAAAGGTTGCAGGAACAGCAACTCATATTCTGCACGGGAACCCTGCAGCCCAATGGTATCAATGTGGACTTCACAAGCTTCAAAATCTCCCCACCCCCTACCGCATCCCAAAACCAGCCCAACTCGTCTGCCTCCCTAACCTGTCCTTCCTCCCACCTATCCCCTCCTCCCACCTCAAGCCCCACCCCCATCTCCTACCGACTAACCTCATCCCGCCCCCTTGACCTGTCCGTCCTCCCTGGACTGACCTATCCCCTCCCTATCTCCCCACCTACACTCACCTTTACTGGCTCCATCCCCACCTCTTTGACCGGTCTGTCTCCTCTCCACCTATCTTCTCCTTTATCCATCTTCTATCCGCCTCCCCCTCTCTCCCTATTTATTTCAGAACCCCCTTCCCCTCCCCCAATTCTGAAGAAGGGTCTAGGCCCGAAACGTCAGCTTTCCTGCTCCTATGATGCTGTTTGGCCTGCTGTGTTCATCCAGCTCTACACCTTGTTATATCAGAGAACGGGGGCAGCAGCATGCACAGTCCCTCCACTAAAGCCGCATTCCTTGGAGATGCTTTAGCTGTGAATTGTGATCACAAGTGATAGAAGGACAACTAATAAAAGAAACTGACAAACTTATGATTGTAGACCAGACTTCTGTAGCTGACCATGTCCTTGTAGCAGCAAGCACCAAAATCTGGCACAGCATGGCTTCAAGAATCAAATACACCAAAGCTGCAACACCCAGCATGCCAAAGTTGACACAGCAGCTGAAGTCTCACACCAACAATAGCATGACCTGTCAGTTCTGTGGACATACATGGCCAATCCATCATCAGACTCTTCAGTCTAGAGGACCAACAGAAAGCAATTAATGACCTTACTCAAACTTGGAGTCTGTCACTTTTTTTTATTCATTCACAGGATGAGGGCGTTGCTGGCCAGGCAGCATTTATTGCTTATCCCTAAATGCCCAGAGGGCAGTTGAGAGTCAACCACATTGTTGTGGGTCTGGAGTCACATGTAGACCAGACCAGGTAAGGATGGCAGTTTCCTTCCCGAAAGGGCATTAGTGAACCAGATGGGTTTTTCCTGACAATCGACAATGGATTCATGGTCATCATTAGATTCTTAATTCCAGATTATTATTGAATTCAATTTCCACCACCTGCCGTGGCAGGAATCGAACCCAGGTCCCAGAACATTATCTGGGTCTCTGGATTAACAGTCCAGTGATACTACCACTAGGCCATCGCCTCCCCCTATCATGGCATTCATGACATCATGGGATCAGCATGTCTAAACAAAGCTTTATAAATTTAGAAATCACCTGACAAAAAAGAAGCCAGTACAATTCAAGAGTTGATTGTATTGTCTAAGCTGTTGGTCTCTTGCATGAGCTGTATCTTCTGGTGAAAGTGTGACAATAATTATTAGCAGTTGACATGCAAATTAACATTTTAAAATTGCAATGTATTACAAATTTGTACAAGGGTATCCCTCACATTTCTAATTTTAAGGACCCTCCTGGTGGCAGGATTTACAGTGAATATTGTCAACAAAAACTTGATTTAACATCTCACCTGAAGGCTAGAACTTTTGATGATGTAGGTCTTCTTCAGTGCATCACTGGCAAATCAGCCTAGATAATATGTTATGATAATGAAGAACAGATAACTTGGAAGGAAATTAAATGACCAGTTAACAAATAAGCAGAAAAGATAAAATAGGTTAAGCAGGAAAAAAATAACAGTATTGCTATTATGTCATAGTTCTCCATTTTGACTATATTGTTTCGTATATTGTCCAAAAATCCCATGGGGGTTAACAAAACACTTTTCACACAATTGAATAGAATCGGAATGGAAGGCCTAGAGGTACCTCATAAGGAGTCAAGGTTATTGCAGAAAACTACAAAGGTTCAGGGTCGCAATGTTCGTTAAAATACTTGCATTTTAATTTAGATTTCCTAGGTTTATGAATCGTATCTTTTTATTGTCTTGTTTCATTGAAAACAATTATTTGAAATGGATCTGAGAGAGCAATACAAAATGTTTGGGATGTAAGCAAGGGAAAATGAATAACAAGAAATGGGTAACAATCTTGAATGAAACAGCATCATAACACAACGTCATATGAATTCAAATAAAAATGAACTAAACAGAATCCTTTAGGATTGAGTTGAGATAAAAAAATGTAACCCCGCTGTCAAGGAATGACAGGCCCAAAATTGGACTTTCTAAATTGAGCCTGAGCTGGAGACATCAGACATGACTGCACATTAAATTTAACGACAGCCAGCAGCTATTGGCTACAAAGACTTTGCAAAGGTTCAGGGGAACCAGTTACAACCAGCCCGAGGATTGTCTTTTGAAGAAGTGTAGATCAGACATTCTGGCATTGTGACTGCCTGAGGACATACACATTACACCTTCTGGAATGGCAACAGTTAAGGACTCCATTAGATGATTTGAATCCAGCTATTGACATCTTAGCCAAGGACCACGGACTATTCTAGAAGGTCTGAGGGGAGGGTGGGAAAAGCACACATGCCTAGATTCCACTCCCCTCAGCAAAGATTCTCAGTGAAGACTCAGTGATGACTCAGTGAAGACTCCAAATGCTGGGAATTGAGCTAAGTGTGGGAGTTTAAGAGTATAAGTCTTAATATTTTGTATTCTTAAAATCTAAAACTGTGGGTAAGGGAAGGCTAGATTTTAAAGGTTGTTTTTTTCTTATGGACCTAAGGAATGTTTAAACAAGCTCTCCCAGGGCTGTAGCAATTAGTTAAGATAATTAAGTAAACTGGTTAGATCTGGCTGTTGTAGCTGGGCAGGCCTTATACTATAAAAGCTAGGTCTAAAGTGTTCCCAGCACAGAGTGTGACTGGCAAGAGAGTGCAAACACTGGGAGCTGAGCTAAGTGTGGGCGTATAGGCAAATGGGGAAGGAAGGCGTTGTTTGCTCTTGTTCTGGCCATTTTTGCAAGAGACTGCTTTGTAGTTGAGGTACTGCTGGTTTGATTTAAGAGTGGGCCTGCATGAATACCAGGCTTTGTTGAGGAGAGCGAGCAGCAACAAGATAAAGGTAAGGTAAGACTTTTCTCCCCCTAGGTATGCTAGTTGTTAAAGGGGCAGGGATGGCAGTCAGTGAACTGGTGTGCTCCTGCTGTCAGATGTGGGAAATAAGCGAGCAGCTGGCTGTCCCTGGTCTGCAGGAAGTGTGTCTGGCTGCAGCTCCTCTCAGACTACATGGATCGATTGGAACAGCAGTTGGAAGCACTGAGTAGCATACAGGAAGCATAGAATGTGTGATAAATAGTAGCTTCAGGGAGATGGTCGCATTGCAGGTACAGTCAGGTAGATGGGTGATTGCTAGGAGAGGTAGGCAGGTAGTGCAGGAGTCTTCTATGGCTATCTCACTCTCAAACAAGTATACGGTTTTGGATACTGTTGAGGGGATTAGCTCTCAGGGGAAAACAGTAGCAGT